GTTTTCACTGTTTCAAAGTCAAAACTTTTCAGCGCCATGATGTCTCCGTTCTCAGAGTTGATGTTTAGAAATGAAGTCAGTTTATTATCTTCACTTCCATCTCTGAGAATATGATAACTTATAAGAGCATTATCTCCCTCATCACGATCAGACGAGATTAAAGAGAATACCGACAGTCCTGGAGGATTATTCTCAGGGACATAGAAATTATATCTGCTCGTGGAAAACTCTGGACTGTTATCGTTTACATCGGATACAACAACTCGTAATGTCTTCTCAGACGTTAAGGATGGTTCGCCTGCATCTTTTGCAATAACTGTTACATCATAGATCGACTGCTTTTCCCTGTCGAGCTGTGACTTTGTCACAACAGCGTACATGTTGTCCTGTATCGAAGGTGTCAATGTGAAAGGCGTGTCACCATTTACAAAGCTGATAACTTTTCCATTCACTCCTGAATCCAGGTCGGTGATACTAAGAAGTGCCACCGTCGTTCCTAGTCTAGCATCCTCTGATATTTCATTAGACAGTGACGTTACTTCAATCACAGGTGGATTGTCATTTATGTCTTTGATATTTACAGTAATGCTTTTATCCGTTCTAAAGGGAACAGCGCCACTGTCAGATGCTTGAATATCTATTTCATAACTGTCATCCACTTCATAGTCTAGTTGTCCTTTCACAGTTATTTCACCTGTGCTCGGGTTGACGTCAAACATTTCTTGCACCTTGCTGTTTACATTACCAAATGAATAACTAATTTCTCCGTTCAAACCTTCGTCTTGATCAGTGGCGTTTACGCGAATAACTATTGTGCCAACTGGTGAATTCTCGTTTATCTGCGCAGAATATACATCCTTTGTGAAAATGGGAGCATTATCATTCACATCAAGGACATCTATTAATATCTCCATAGACCCTGATTTCGGGGGTTTACCCCCATCCACGGCTGTAAGCAGTAGTCTGTGGCCGCTGGATGCTTCTCTGTCTAAAGGGCTTTGTAACTGTAAAATAGGCACTTTGCCATCTTTCCCGCGATCTTTCACTTCCAGTCGAAAATGATTATTTTGATTAAGTTTATACTGTTGAACTGAATTCATGCCGCCGTCTGGGTCGAGTGCAGCATGCAGCTGAAACCGTGTTCCCGGTAAAGTGGACTCTGAAATCTCCAGCCTTTTGTTGTTCTCCGGGAAAGAGGGCGAGTGGTCGTTTACGTCTAACACCTCCACTGCAACATAGTGGATCTCCAGCGGATTCTCTAGCACACTCTTAAGGTTTATCAGACACGCACTGGTCCGCTGGCATATTTCCTCTCTGTCAATTTTACGATTTACGTACAGAATCCCGTCATTTTGGTTTACCTGGAAAAGCGGTTCAGTGGAGCCAGAAACAATACGAAACCCTCTCGCTTTTAAAATATTTGGATCGATTCCCAAATCCTTCGCAATATTCCCGACTGCAGTTCCTTCTTTGATCTCTTCCGATATAGAATATCTCATCTGTCCCGAGGCCTTCATGCCTAAAAGCAAAGTCAACGCCAACACGAAGAAAATCCATTTCCTTCCTTGTCGGCAGGAGCGTGCTCCGCTTTGTTCCATTGTCTGATGCCAAGGGATAAATCCAGTAAACGCTAGGTGATCGTAATACTGTTTACATAGCCATTAAATGTACAAAAAAATCCACATCTAACAAAGCACCCGTTTCCTATGGACGACAAAATCTCAGTATTAAGTCGCAGACGGGTGATAATGGTGTGCGCTCTGGATGCTTCAGAGGAAGTCTCACAGACCTACATAGAGTGAACTGTGTGGTGCGTATTTCTTGTTGTTTAGTGCCACCATGCGATTCTATCAGAGAAACAGATTTATTTGAACTCTAGTAACTTACTGACACAAATTCTGGATAAAATACTGAGCATGAAGATGAGACCGTTATCTCCAAGAGGACTAATATCACTTTGGTTCAATTCATATATTTTATGACCAGGAAATTCAATAGTTCCAGCAACATTCCACCAAAATCAGAACATAAATCAGCAGAGATGCTTTCTAAGAATAAAAAAAGCTGAAACTGGTTAAAATCACTTACAAAAAACACATTTAACTTTATAGGAATTCCAGTTTCATGTCACAGAAACTCCTGAAGGTTGCCCATGAATGTAATTCTGATTATGTTGCTGTCTGCAAACAATTGTGTGATTGCATTATGTATTTTGCATTTTCAGCCTGCAAAATGACATTCAAAAATCTCTTACCTCACCAGAAGTTCCCCTCCTGTCAGGCAGCACCAGAGTATTGGCATGGCTTCCTGGGACTATAGTAGATCCTATACTCATCCTGGGTCCAACTAACATGTAGCGTTTGTCTCCAGATCTGTACTGGAT